TTCCTTCCTTCCTTCCTTCCTTCCTTCCTTCCTTCCTTCCTTCCTTCTCTTCTTTTTCCTTCCCTCTTCATTCGCCTCTTTCCTTCTTTTTCCTTCCTTGCTCCCTTTCCATCATCCCTTCTTTTTCTTTGCCTTTCCTCTTTCCCTTTCTCCTTTTCTGTCCCTTCTTGCATGCTCAAGTGCAAAAGGGGAAAGATTTGTCCTTTCGTTTTGCTTTTAGTTTGGTTTGCTAACCCTCTGCCAGCAAAAGCGGAGCCCGGGCCCCCACAAGTGACCTCCCTGCACCCCGTTTTTGGCTGCAATGGCCTCTTGCAGGCCCCTGCCAGAGAAAACTGCCAGGGCCCATGGCCAAAAAATGGGGCTCTGTTTTTGCTGGCAGAGGCACCGTGGGCTGGTCCTTTGCTGTTTCTAGGCCGGCCCTGTGGGCCAGATTGAAGCAACCCATGGGCCTTGAGTTTGACACTCCTGCTGCAGCATGTGAAATGAGCCCCCAACGGGCATCCCACAGACAACGGTGATGTCACTAGCTAATCCTCTCAAAATGGAAGTGCTTTGGTGCCTCTGACACGAGTGTGATGCGAATGTCCACTGATGAGCACAACCAGGGCTTCCTTCCCAGAAGCCCATGGTTGAGCCATTTGGATGCATCCAAATGCAATAATGGGCTGTTTCCCAATAAATCTGCAATCCTGGCTCTTCTCAGCCAGAATATGGAAAGTGTCTTGTCTAAAGAATTCACTTTTTTCAAAACTAAGAGTGTCAATGTTTGTTGAGGAAGTGGTCTCAGATTGAACCAGCTTTTCTCCACGTAGAAAAACAGTTTGTACCAGGGATGGCGAATCTATGACCCGAGTCTCAAAGGTGCCACATTATGACATTTTGTGTGACATGCCAGTGTTCACAAACGCCCAACACCAGCTATTCTCAAAACCGCGCCTTGTGCTTATGTGATTTTTGGAGACCGTGGACATTGCGTGAGGGTGGGATGTAATCTTGTGTGTCCTCCAGATACCCTGGAAGACATGTGAGAGGGCCAGGCTCTCACACAACCTCGAGACCAAAATCATCTGAAAAATGGGGTTCTTACGTGGTTTTCAGAGACTGGGGCAACTGCAGAAAAGCTGTCTTTGAAGCCACTTCAAGAAAGAATGGCTTGTGTTACCCAGAGCTAACATTAACAGGAAGGGGATACTTCAATAAGGTAAGTTGTGTGTGGCAGATCACACACATGACCTGGGGATCACACACGATTGGACTGAATTTTTTTAAAAAAATAAATGAATGTGTAAAGCATTATTTCTCTTTTGTTTGAATGTGCGTCTGTGAGTGTGAGAGGCACACCCCAACAGAGTCAAATTAGGGATATTCTGAATTTTCAACACTTCAAGCCCGAAAGATTCTCCATTACTTAGGCAAACATGTGCTCTTCCCTACTACTAATCAACGTGGCCCATTATGAGATTTTGAGCCTGAAATGACGCAAACCAAGTACTATGTCAGCCTCCGATATAGTACCTTAATTACACATCCACAGCACAAGGGAAACACGTACGCTAAACACTTCCGCTGCGTGTGCACAGGAGCTTGCAAGTGGGAACGTGTGTGACGTCACAGACAAGGATAAACACGGATAGGCAAATCCAGTGAATCACAAGCCAACACAGACAAAACGCAAACAAAAGGGCAAACCCTATTTTAAGCGGTATTATACCAAGCCAACCTGGAACAGCCTTTCGTCTCCGAGTGTGCTGGGAAGCCTGCTGATAAAATGCCATTGGTTTTTACAATAATCTCAATATTATTTCAGATGAAACAGTCACGTAAAGAGAGATCTTACCTGAATTCCGGATTTGTGAGCCAGCAAGTTTGTGGAGAGGCTTTCCTGATGAATCATCAGAGAAGCACTAGATGCTTGCAGCATTTTCAAACTTATTTTTCATTTAACAGAAGTGAGATGGGGTGGCTTGCTTACCAGCTCCGCTTAGAATTTCCCAGAATTTTTTGGCCACTTCCTGATTTGCTCAGTGGGAGTTTCATCCTATCCAATATTCCCATAAGTGGGCTCCACTTTCTTACCACCCAACAGCTCTCTTTCCTTATTACAGGGAGTCCTCAACTTACAACCACAATGGAGCCCCCAGTTTTTGTTGTTAAGTGAGACATTTGTTAAGTGAGCTTTGCCCCGTTATGCAACCTCCTCTTGACACAGTTGTTAGGTATGGTCAAGCGATGTTTTACTTAACCGCTTCACTGATTAAGTGAAGATCAGTATGATGGAGTTACTCATCCCAGGTAGGACTGTTAAGCAAAAACTACCTGTAAAAGGTTGTCCTTTTAACCTGCAAATCCTGGAACTCTTGGTAAAAAAAAAATACTTCTAACCGGTTCTATTTTCCTCCCAACTGGTGTAAGAAAACCTGACAATTCTTACAGGAACTATTTAGAATAGAATAGAGTAACAGAGTTGGAAGTGACCTTGGAGGTCTTCTAGTCCAACCCCCTGCCTAGGTAGGACACCCTACACCACTTCAGACAAATGGTTATCAGACATTTTTTTAAAAAACTTCCAGTATTGGAGCATCCACAACTTCTGGAGGCAAGTTGTTCCACTGATTAATGGTTCTCGCTGTCAGGAAATTCCTCCTTAGTTCTAGGTTGCTTCTCTCCTCGATTAGTTTCCACCGATCGCTTCTTGTCCTGCCTTCTGGTGCTTTGGAGAATAATTTGATCCCTTCTTCTTGGGGCAGCCCCTGAAATATTGGCACAATGCTATCCTGTCTCCCCTGGTCCTTCTCTTCTCTTGGTTGCTCTTCTCTGCACTCTTTCTAGAGTCTCAACATTTTTTTTACATTGT